ACTACCACTACCACTACCACTATCACTCACTTAACACGTCCGCCTGTTTCTCCTTCTGTGCCACCAGTCTTCTCATTTATATTGTGCTACTAATTGCTCATAGATCAAGAAATGGGTCACCATAGCTGATAGCGTTCGTTATTCATTGTTGCTATCCATTGAGCTGAATTTTAGGCAGACACAAAGACAAAATTCATTCTTGAATTAATTACGTGCTGATAGTAATCAAAGTTCAGTACGGCCTTAAGCATATTTCAACCGATCAAGCAAACCAGTACTGATTTCTCAGTAACTTTTACAAGCATTTCCATGTATTTTTTAGCATGAACTACCTGCATCATTGCGTTCCTTCTACTTACCATTGTCCAATTGATTTTGCATTGTTTGCTATCATAATTTTCATTAGTCATCATGTGCGTCATCGTCGTTACACTAATATCAACGTAAATAGGTCGTAATTAGAACAAATCTTTGCTAACTTCACAATAACAAAAATGAATAGCGCAAGTTTCATATCTGTTCAGCAGATATTACTTCTTAGATGCATGATAAATTTTTGTAACTTCGTCCACTGCTCGAATTAGCTCTCAGAATCTCCAAATCTAATTTTAAAACAATATAGAAATTATGCGATAATTGATTCAGTAAGAGAAATTTTGATGGATGTAATGGGCTCGACGCTGTTTTATAATCTAATCGTCATTTGAGATGTGCATAATAAAATTTATATTCGCCGAGCTTTCATGAGCAGTTGCAATACAAAAATCACAAAGTATTGCGTTACTGATGAAACAAACCAACGAAAAAGTAGGAAAAAAATCTGCATTACAAAGTGCTAACTGAAACACATGTCAAGAAACTGGCTCGTTTAGTAAATGATGAATTTCTGACTCATGCTCCACATTTTATTGTTCAAATCCAGTGGAAATCTTGGATAAAGCGGTAGCGAAAATGACGAAAATTTACTTTTTATAAATTTTGTCGTTCATTGCATTCGAGTCACAGCCAGCTGACTTAATGTTTCGGATATATATCTATGAATCTACCTGTTTCCAAGTTATTATTCTTTCTGCAACTTTTTGATTTGTGTTTCAGTACTCGTCAGTCCATCATTAACTAAGACGAATCATTCAAAAGTTCGAAGAACATTGTAGTGAAATTCACAAGACAGATAGAAGGTCTGATGGTCAATAAAAGGTCTTTCCTATAAGTGTGATGTTTTAGCACGCTGCAAATGACTTTGCTACCCTTGCAGTGAAAAAAATCTGCTTATTTTAAAATTTGAACTGAAATTTCATGCACTATCAGATTTGGCTTTCTCAGCAGCACCAATTTTGTGTGATAACATTATTGCAGTGACAAAGTTGCATAAAAGTCATCTCCGAAAGATCCATTTAGTGGTAGTAATGTGTCTCACTTTTATGGTTAGCTTCCAAAAAAGATCATCAGGCATTGCAACTATATTGTATAAAAATAAGACAACCAATTTACTGATAGTCAAACTAAACACCGAGAATTATGTCATTTTGATTGCGAAGTCCGTCCAAGGATTTTATTAAAAAGTGTGTCTTGTTTGAATGTTTTCCTAATTTTTCAAATTTCCAGTTTTATGACGATTTTAATCCTTAATACCATGACTGCAAATCAGAAGTTGCATGATATAAACCTGAGTAATCGTCAATTCTCTCGAGTTTTCATTCGGCTTCCGATTTCTTGCAGTGCTTCTGTTAATTTTTGTCATTTTAAGTTTCACATCTTCGGATATCCAAGTGCTAACACCATAATAAAAACAGGCTAGCAGAAATAAATATCTGCACTTCTTTGCAAATTATGCATTTAAATTGTCAAAATTTTTTGCAAGAATAAAAGTGAATAAATAAAGTAAAGGTGATTGGTTACAAAGAAATTGCCTTAAGAGAAAGGAACTGACGCGGAAGAGATTATGAAGGCATGCATATACAGCAAAGAAAAAAGTTATTAAAGGTCAAAATATTGCAATAAATCTGTTTAAAGTCGTGAGCAATCTTAAACCCTTTCTCTATTAGTGCTGTAAGCGTAATGTCAAACCTGCTGGTCTGCTAAGGCATTTATCTTAATTCTCGTCAAGTTTCATTAATGCCTCGCATTTGTGGCACATTTCCGAACTCATGATTTCCATACAGGTGATTGACATAACGAATTGAGCTTGAGGTATCGGGATGTGCAAAAGCCCGGGTCTATGTGCGTAAGCATTATATTCTTGACTATTCGGTGATATGAATTCTATATATCGGTTGCAAAGTTGCCCCTATTGACCGCAGGTTTCTTTTGCTTGCAATTACGGTCTCTCCTAAATATAAACACATCAAAATTTATCAGGATTAATAGATACAATTTTGACAACGCAAGCTCCCCAGTGCAGTACATGGAGTAATTGGTGCCGAATTAAGTGGAAAAATTCTGAAATTGATGAGAAAGCATTATCAAAATTTGCATTAAAATTCACATCAGCTCTCAGTGACTGAAAGTGAAGCTTTCAAAAACGTTTATAATTTTGCCTGAACAAACACATCATAACAATGTATAGCTGCAAATTAGCTATTCAAGTAAATGAATAATTGATTAGCCTAATTGTTATATGAATGACAGGTTTGTCACTTTGTAATAGTGGCTTCTAAAAGAGAGATATGCGTGTACAAACACATCACTACTACCACTACCACTACCACTACCACACCACGTGGGGCCTCGATAATTGTCCACTCTTGTGCAAGCAAAGCCTTCACAAGCAGCACTTACTACTTGCATTACTGTTCTCCCTCTTCACTCTTAGCAGTGATTGATTTGTTCTTTTTCAACAAACCAAAAATGAATTTTGTTGCAGCGCAATACTCTTTTAAACACATCTGTACTAAACGCAGTACTATTTCTAACGCAGTACTAGTTTAAAATTCTCATTTAAAAACTCGACATGTCTGCAGCTTCTGAAGAGCACCTTGCCTCCTTTAATTGAACGAGTAATCACTTACCCAAAAAGCTCTAATTAATTAATTCCGGTCAGTTAACACAATGTATAAAAGAAATGCACGATGTAACCAAAATTGGTGCGACAGAGCAATGATAGCTCAAAAGACTGCAGAAGTTCATTTCACATTGACACTAAGTTCGTATCATTACCTTATTGGTTTTTAATGAGGACTTAACGTACAGTCGTGCTGGTATGCTAGGATATCTATCGCGCAGTCTTTCAGAAGGCAAACACATATGGCTTGGGATAGTTTGCATGCATTCTGCGCTATTGGTAGCTGTTTGGTTAAGATATGGACCTCAATGGGCCCCGCACATTCTTTGCAATTTACTCATGTCGTCATTTATCTCCTAAAATTGAACAAATGATAATGTAAATACTACCAAATGATAATGTATACTCACTTTACTTACGCATACCAAAGCTAGCTTGAGATATTTTTACTCAAAGATATGATGGGAAAGACAGCGAAGGCGGAGTGGTGCATACTTATTGCATAGAAGCGCATGCACTATTAGTAACGTTCCCTCGCATTCAAAAGACTGCGTATCAGTTGGGATTTTTTATTGAAATGGAAGTTTGATAAAGAAAATAGAGATTCGATGATAGCGTTCAAAAATAATGTTAAGAAATATTGACGGATCAAATTATGAGACATCTGGTTGTAAATTAAGTAATGAGTATGTGAGGATTCAAGTCGCAGTGAGGTTCCTTTTGTTTTTGTCCAATGGCAAAATTTTGCCTAAAAAGAGTATATTTTTGAATCCCATAATTAATCACCAAAATGAAGCTATGACGTTGATTGACTCTGCTCTAGTGTGTTCTATGCAGATATTTGTGCTTGTTCAATTTTTTATGATTTTTTCTCAATTGTAAGTGATTCTTTGGGTTCCTGATCCTTCATAATGCAATGAATT